CTTCAATGTTTCGATTTTTCAGTTTTCCAATTTCTTGATTTTCAGTTTTTCCATTCTTTAAATTTTCAATTTCTCGATGTCTTCATTTTTTGATTTCTCAATTTTCCGATGTTTCACTTTAACAATGTTTCAATTTCTTGACTTTTTAACATTTTCTTTTTTTTTTTCAATTTTTGACGTATCTAAATTTTCGATTTTTCGACTTTTCAGTTTTTCAGTTCAATTTTTCGATTTTTTTGGTTTTTGATTGTTCGATTTTCGACTTTTCGATTTCCTGACTTTTCAGTTTTTTGTCTTCTCAATTTTTTAATGGTTCAGTTTTGGTATTTTTCAAATTTTCGATTCTCCAATTTTTGTTCCATTTCACAATTTCCCTTTCAGATTTACGATTTTACAATTTTTCGATTCTTTAAATTTTCGATTTCTCGATGTGTTTATTTTTTTGATTTATCAGTTTTCCGATGTTCCAGTTCTACGATTTTCAATTTACGGCTCTTCACATTTACTTTTTTTTCAATTTTTGACGTATCTAAATTTTCAATTTTTCGATTTTTCGACTTTTCAGTTTTTCAGTTCTTCAATTTTTCGATTTTTCAGGTTTTTGATTTTTCGATTTTCTACTTTTCGATTTCCCGATTTTTAAGTTTTTCGACTTCTCAATTTATGTTCCATTTTTCGATTTTTTCCGATGTTTCAGATTTACAATTCTTCAATTCCTTAAATCTTCGATTTCTTGATGTTTTCAACTTTTTGATTTCTTAATTTTCCGATGTTTCAGATTTACGATTTTACAATTTTTCGAGTCTTTAAATTTTCGATTTCTTGATGTGTTCATTTTTTGATTTCCCAACTTTCCGTTCTTCCAGTTCTACGATTTTTCAATTTCTCGGCTCTTCGTATTTTCTTTTTTTTTCAATTTTTGACTTATGTAAATTTTCAATTCTTCAATTTTTCGATTTTTCAGGTTTTTGATTTTTCTATTTTCGACTTTTTGATTTCCCGATTTTTAAGTTTTTCGACTTCTCAATTTATGTTCCATTTTTGAATTTTTTTCGATGTTTCAGTTTTACGATTTTTCAATTTTTCGATATTTTAGTTTTGGGATTTTTCATTTTTTTGTTCTCAACTGTTTCGGATTTTCAATTTTTGGATTTCTCAATTTTCCGATTTCCAGTTTCACGATTTTTCAGTTTGTCGACTTTTCACATTTTCTTTTTTTTTTTTCAATGTTTGACGTATCTAAATTTCCAACTTTTCGATTAGTCCATTTTTGATTTTTCGATTTCTCAACTTTTCTGTTTTTCAGTTCAATTTTTTGATTTTTTGATTTTCGACTTCAGTTTCCCGATTTTTCAGTTTTTTGCCTTCTCAATTTTTTAATGTTTCAGTTTGGTGTTTTTCAGATTTTCGATTCTCCAATTTTTGTTCCATTTCTCAATTTTTCGTTTTTTTAAATTTTCAATTTTCAGATGTTCCAGTTTTACAATTTTTCGATTTTTCGACTTCACATTTTCTTCTTTTTTTCAATTTTTGACGTATCTAAATTTTCAATTTTCCGATTTCTCAATTTTTCGATTAATCGATTTTTTTATTTTCTCATTTTTCAATTTTTCGACTTTTTAATGTTTCGACTTTTCAATTTTTCAGTTCTTCAATTTTTCAATTTTTCAGTTCTTCAATTTTTCGATTTTTCAGGTTTTTGATTTTTCCATTTACGACTTTTCGATTTCCCGATTTTTAAGTTTTTCGAATTCTCAATTTATGTCCCATTTTTCAATTTTTTTTTTGATGTTTCAGTTTTACGATTTTTCAATTTTTCGACTCTTCTCATTTTCTTTTTTTTTCAATTTTTGACTTATCTAAAATTCCAATTTTTGGATTTCCGACTTTGTCGATTAATCGATTTTTTGATTTTCCCATTTCTCAATTTCTCAACTTGTTCCGACTTTTCATTTTTTCAGTTCTTTAATTTCTCGATTTTTCAGTTTTTCGACTTCTAAATCTTTTGATTTTTCAGTTATGATATTTTTAAAATTTTCGATTGTTCAATTACACTTCTCAATTTTCCAATGTTTCACTTTTACAATTTTTCAATTTCTCCACTTTTTAACATTTTCTTTTTTTTTTCAATTTTTGACGTATTTGAATTTTCAATTTTTCGATTTTTTACTGAAAAAAGCTTCAGTTTTTCAGTTCAATTTTTCGATTTTTCAGGTTTTTGATTTTTCCATTTTCGACTTTTCGATTTCCCGATTTTTAAGTTTTTCGACTTCTCAATTTATGTCCTATTTTTCAATTTTTTTTTGATATTTCAGTTTTACGATTTTTCAATTTTTCGACTCTTCTCATTTTCTTTTTTTTTTCAATTTTTGACTTATCTAAAATTCCAATTTTTGGATTTCTCACTTTGTCGATTAGTCGATTTTTTGATTTTCCCATGTCTCAATTTCTCAACTTGTTCCGACTTTTCAGTTTTTCAGTTCTTTAATTTCTCAATTTTTCAGTTTTTCGACTTCTAAATCTTTTGATTTTTTAGTTATGATATTTTTAAAATTTTCGATTGTTCAATTACATCTCTCAATTTTCCAATGTTTCACTTTTACAATTTTTCAATTTCTCGACTCTTTAACATTTTCTTTTTTTTTCAATTTTTGACGTATTTGAATTTTCAATTTTTCGATTTTTTACTGAAAAAAGCTTCAGTTTTTCAGTTAAATTTTTCTATTTTTCAGATTTTTGATTTTTCCATTTTCGATTTTTCGATTTCCCGATTTTTAAGTTTTTCGAGTTCTCAATTTATGTCCCATTTTTCAATTTTTTTTTGATGTTTCAGTTTTACGATTTTTCAATTTTTCGACTCTTCAAATTTTCTTTTTTTTTTCAATTTTTGACTTATCTAAAATTCCAATTTTTGGATTTCTCACTTTGTCGATTAATCGATTTTTTGATTTTCTCATTTCTCAATTTCTCAACTTGTTTCGACCTTTCAGTTTTTCAGTTCTTTAATTTCTCGATTTTTCAGTTTTTCGACTTCTAAATCTTTTGATTTTTCAGTTATGATATTCTTCAAATTTTCGATTATTCAGTTACATTTCTCAATTTTCCAATGTTTCAGTTTTACGATTTTTCAATTTTTAGACTCTTCAAATTTTTGTTTTTTCAATTTTTGACGAATCTAAGTTTCCAACTTTTCAATTTCTCAATTTTTCGCTCAATCGATTTTTGATTTTCCCATTTCTCGATTTCTCTACTTTTCAATGTCTCGACTTCTCAGTTTTTCAATTCTTCAATTTTTCGAGTTTTCAGATTTTTGATGTTTCAGTTTTGGTGTTTTTCAATATCGATTTCTTGATTTTTTATTTTCTTTTAATTTTCAATTTTCAAAATTTTTGATTTTTCCATTTCCTGATTTTTCAGTTCTTCGACTTTTCGAATTTTAAATTTTTTTAATTTTCTATTTTTGGGTTTTTTGAATTTTACATTTTTCGATTTTTCAATATTTCGATTTGTCATTTCAATGTTGGAAACTTTTCAATTTTTGGATTTTTTGGTTTTTCAAATTGAAAATTTTTGATTTTTCGATTTTTAAATATATTTCATGTTGTCTGCACTTGTACGGACAGCATGGAATTTGCGCCGGTTGTGCATTGTCGCTGAATACGAATTTTTTCGTAACTGATATAATTACAAAAGAATAATAAGGAAATAATGATGACAAATACATTGCTATATGTGATTTTAGTATACAACGTTAATTAGAATAAAACACTACTTAAAAGTTCAATACTAAATATCGTTGATCTAGCTGGCTTGACAGGGAGAAAGAAATAATTATACGGATTATAATTAAATTTTGCGACTTCCTGATTTCCTCTTAATTCTTAGCTTCTAGAACATCAACAGTAGGGAATTTTTCACGAAATGTGAAGATGGAATTCAGTCACTCTTAACATGTATATTAGATTTATTCCCATTTTCATTTAATTGTTTTAATGGGAAAAGTTCAGCGTATAATATAATAATACCTTAATTAAATTCACAATTCAGCGACTAGCCTTGATTATTCATTATTCAATGCAATATCTATTAATAAGTAATCTATTTTTTCAGATCGTAAATAATGCATTCTGATTAAATCATTCATTCAATAAAACCCCTGAACTCATTTAAAGAAACATTTGTCTACCATTTGTTCCCCCATTTTTTACAACATAGGACATATATCTTGTTGCCGAGTCGAAAGCTCGACGCCAGCTTTCTTTTCAATAAGTTTTCGTCCGTGTTCTGTGGAAAATTTACTTATTTACAACTTCACGTTTTTTGCTTTCTCTCGACGTTTTATATTTTCTTGACGCCCGCAGTGCGTGAATTTGCACCCTTTGTAATACTTTATCATTCATAAGTACACAGATGAATAAATTATACACATATATTTTTAATGTCGGAAGAATTTTAAAATGCAAATAATGTCCACGCCCTGCACACAAACTTATTCGATTTACTGAATAATGGAATAATCCTTACGAAAGTCAACGACCTTCCTGAAATTCTGGGTAGAAACACCCATCTCCAAGTTTGTCGTGCTTTCAGAAAAATCGTTTTCAAATAATTTAATACTTATATAAACTTAAAGGTTGAGCTTTTTGTTACCCGCTCAAACACAATTTCCACTAAACTCTTACGAAAGTTGTCACAACGGAACGCTAGAAATACAAAGCATTTAGAAACTTTTATTCACAACCTTCACGTAAACTTTCATGTGAAACATTGCTCGCGCCAAGGTTGTAAATAAAAGCTTTCAAGAGCAATGTTGAAAGTAATTTATGTAAGCCGTAATCTGCTTTTTGCCAAATTCACAACAATATTTTATATCCGAGCTTTCAAAATAACATCCAAGCAACCACAACCGTTTGGATATCCTTTTTAGCGCGTCCTGATTCTCCCGATTCTCCTGCCTCCATCAGAGGCCGCTTTAATGAATTCTGTTTTCTCCATTCCAGCAACCGAAGTTCGTTGTCAGGAAAAGACCCGGGGCGGACTACGTTACGAGGTCATTCTGAGCGAGCCGGAAGTCAAGGCCACCCCACCGAAAAAGGCAGCTTCCCCAAAGAACAGCATGTCCGTTCAGGACATCGAGGATAAGCTAAAGGCGGCAGAGGAACGTAGACAGGTAATCGATGGTCGGATGATGTGCGAATGTTAAATATTTGAATTTTATCTGCGTTCGGGGAGTGAGATGTCGTTGACACTCGCCACACACACCTCCAGATAGAAGTATTCTGGCGCAGAGCCATGAAGATGGTAATTTATTTTTTTGTTGAAAGTGATATTTCATTTTTAATGGTGGGAAAGGATCGGTGGCGCTTTTTCGGAGCAATAATGCGGTAATATGTTATCGGAGTTTGTATCTCGGTTGTAGTGTTGCGCTAGGTCACGGGCTGTTTAAGCTTACTCGACTTTAGAGATTAATTGGTCTAGTCTAGACGTCACGTGGTTAGGCGTTTTCGCATTTTGCGCAAAAATGGAATTGATTTTTTTCGTTCGCTGAAATTATGCGCATAATCGCACCACTGCGATGCAGGGTTGACAATACATGACAGTTCGTTGGATTTAACTCCCTGATTGATGTGTATTTGCGGTTTAGGCTGGCTATTTTTCTTTTTTGATATATAAAAATGTTTTCGAAAGCGGTGTTTAAATTTTATTTGACAGTTTTCATTCTAATAAATATAAAATAAAAAGGGACGTCAAGCTTTCGTGGCAAGCGTTATTCGCTAAGCTTCTGACTTATGACGCTAAAATACTAAAAATTCTTGTGAGTGCTTTGTTTACTAGGGTCCTTTTGATTATCTTTCTGTCGTAATATTTTATATTCCTGCTCTTGTTTCTAGACAATTGGCGTCTCTGCTTTTGGTTTAACGGTTTCAGGACGTTATCTAAGACGTTTTAGTGTTTCGAATTTAATATAAACCTTCCTAAAGGACTTTAAAGTAGTAAGCTGCATTTTCGTTAAAAGAAAGTTCCTTCTATTTTAAAATATTTAACCTTCGTTTCCAAGGGAATTCTAAAATATAATGTATTGGAACGTCACGGCACTTCCCTGTTCTAAACTATTCAAAGCTAATTCCTTTTTTCACCAACTAGTCAGTCTTAAGTCGTAGCTGCTTTATTAATCCACTTCTACTGTCATTGATGGGTTTTTCTTTATCCCATTTCTGACACTAACATTGCGTCTCGGAGTTCGATAGATTTTTCAGTGTTAATCTAAATTAACAAACTTTGAAACTTCTCTTAGAATTCTGGTTATTACAGTTCTCAGTTTTCATTATTTCGTGTCTAAAAACGTGACTGATTCCTGTAGCCTTTGCATTCTATTAGTACTACGTCTGTGTTTCCAAAAAGTTGCTGAATATTGTGGTTAAATATACGAGTATATAACGGGTGATCAAAAAGTTTTCAGATTAGAGTTGGCCACGGAAATATTTATCATGTCTTGGATTAAACTGTAAATGTCAAAAAAGCGATTCAAAACATTTTTTAAATAACTTTTTTCTGTTTTGAGAATTGGGTTTTAATATTTTATGGAGAGATAAACAGAGGCATGGACTTTGTCATGATATCAATTAAATACAATTTTAACATACAATGCAACAATGTTTCATTTTTTTCAAATAGAACAGCCTGTATTTCTTTACTGCAATTTTTTGTTCTTTTTGTTTGAATATGGCAGTCTGTCCCTTAAAAAATTAAAAAAATTCGATAACTATCAACTTTAAATATAGAAAATACTTAATAGAAAAGAAAGAGAACAAAAGACAAAATAAGACGCAGTAATTAAATACAGGAAATACAATTTTTGATTTTTCAATTTAATGTTTCAGTTTTTAGGTTGTTCGACATTTCACTGTTTCGATTTCTCCTATTTTCGGTATTTCAGTTTTGAGATTTTAAAATTTTTTGTTTTTCAATTTAATGTTTCAGTTTTTAGGTTGTTCGACATTTCACTGTTTCGATTTCTCCTATTTTCGGTATTTCAGTTTTGAGATGTTAAAATTTTTTGTTTTTCCCATTTTTCGGTTCATCAATTTCTTACTTTTTCGAATTTAAAATTTTTCCATTGATTTATTTTTCGGTTTTTAAATTTTCCGATTTTTTTTTCGACTTTAAAATCTTTCGATATTTTGATTTCCCAATTTCTCAATTTTTCGATTTTATAATTTTTCGCTTCTCCAGTTCCTCATTTTTTCAAATTTTAGATTTTTTGATTTTCCCATTTCTCGATTGCTCAATTTTTCGATGTTTCATTTTTTTTTAGTTTTCCTATTCTTGAGTTCTTCAGTTTTTCGATATTTGCGTTTTGGAATTCTTCAATTTTTCGATTTTCCAATTTTTAGATTCCTGGATTTTTCAATTTTTCAACTTTTCAGCGTTTCGATTTCTCAATTTCTCGATATTTCAGTGTTGAGATTTTTCAATTTTTAAACTTTTCAACGTTTCGATTTCGAAATTTCTTGATATTTCAGTTTTGAGATTTTTCAGTTTGTTGATTTTATAAATTTTTCGATTTTCCCATTTCTCGATTGCTCAATTTTTCGATGTTACAGTTTTGAGATTTTTCAGTTTTTCGATTTTTCTATATTTGTTTTAAAAATTTTCGATTTTTATTTTTCGACTTTAAGGTTTTTCGATTTTTGGATTTCCCAATTTCTCAATTTTTCGGTTTTCCAAGTTTTCACTTCTTCAAATTCTCGTTTTTTCGAATTTTTTATTTTTTTATTTTCCCATAATCTCGATTGCCAAATATTTCAATCTTTCGATTTCTCGACTTCTCGTTCCCCGATTTTTCAATTTTTCGATGTTACATTTTTTCAGTTTTTCTATTTTTCGATTCTTCAATTTTTTGATTTCTTAAATTTTTTATTTTCGATTTTTTTTTAATTTTTGGACTTTAAGATTTTCGATTTTCCCATCTCTCGAATGCTCAAATTTTCGATGTTTCAGTTTCTCGGCTTTTCGATTTCCAAATTTTGCAATTTTTCGATGTTTAATTTTTTTTTTCAGTTTTTCTATTTTTCATCAAATTTTCAATTTTTCGATATTTGAGTTTAGGGATTTTCAGTTTTTTCGATTCATTTTTTTTTTATTTTTCAATTAAACTTTTCGGTTTTTAAATCGTTTACATTAGTAAAATGTAATTTAAATTTTATAAAATCAGATACTCCTGCATTTGTGCTTTACGAATACGTGCTGAGTTTTTATCCTAAGCATCCAGATTTTTAAGGAAAAAAAAATCAAAATTGTTTAACATTTTCCAACTTAATTTCGAAAATGTAAAACCTAATGCTCTGAAATTTTGCAAACTTTTTAACGTTATCGTTTATCGTAAGAATATAAATCGTTAATCAAAATTTATGAGATTTTTAAATTTTTCGATTTTATTTTTCGACTATAAAATTTTTCGATTTTTTGATTTCGTGATTTCTTGATTTTTCAGTATTCCAATTTTTCGCTTCTTCAATTTCTTGTTTTTTTCAAATTTTCCATTTTTTGATTTTCCCATTTCTCGATTGCTCAATTTTTCGATATTTGAATTTTGAGATTTTTCAATTTCTCGATTCTTCTATTTTTTGATTCCTTAGATTTTATATTTTTCGATCTAACTTTTCGGTTTTATCAATTTTTAGATTCCTGGATTTTTCAAATTTTCAACTTTTCAACGTGTCGATTTCTCAATTTCTTGATATTTTAGTTTTGAGATTTTTCAGTTTGTTGATTTTATAAATTTTTCGATTCTCCCATTCTCGATTGCTCAATCTTTCGATGTTTCGGTTTCTCGACTTCTCGATTTCCCGATTTCTCAATTTATCTATATTACAGTTTTTCGATTTTTCTATTTTTCTGTTTTTAAATTTTTCGATTTTCATTTTCCGACTTTAAGGTTTTTCGATTTTTGGATTTCCCGATTTCTCAATTTTTCGGTTTTCCAAGTTTTCGCTTCTTCAATTTCTCGTTTTTTCAAATTTTTCATTTTTTTATTTTCCCATAATCTCGATTGCTCAATGTTTCGATTTCTCGACTTCTCGTTCCCCGATTTTTCAATTTTTCGATATTTGAGTTTTGGGATTCTTCAATTTTTTGATTCTTTAAATATCAGATTTTTGGATATTTTTGTTTTTTGACTTTAAGATTCTCGATTTTCCCATCTCTCGAATGCTCAAATTTTCGATGTTTATTTTTTTTTTTTTCATTTTTCTATTTTTCTTCGAATGTTTCGATTTTTCAAATTAACTTTTCGGTTTTTAAATCGTTCGATTTTTCAGTTGTATCAATTTTTCGATTTTTGAACATTTCGATTTCTCAATTTGTTTATTTTCCCATTTCTCGATTGCTCAATTTTTCGAGGTTTCGGTTTCTCAATTTTTCAGTAGTTTTTTTTTTCAGTTTTTTTATTCTGCGATTTTTCAATATTTGAGTTTTGGGATTTTTCAATTTTTCGATTTCTCGTTTTTAATTTTTGCTATAATTTATTATTTTTTTTTTAAACTCTGTATATTAAAACCCAATTTTATTTATACCACAAAATATTGTGACCAAGATTTTAAAAACAACCTTATTGCATTTTTTTTGTTCCCGAAAATAAGCTGAAGAAGTACTGTAATCGAGTCCATCGGAAGGCTACTTTCATGTTTTATCGACGTTTCCTGACCCCTATAGTACGAAAAAATAGGCCTTCCGTTTCCGTCTGTCTGTCTGCCGTCTGTCCGGATTTTTATTAGGCAGATAATCTCCAAAACTACTAGACGAATTGTTGTCAAATTTTATACGCTAAGCAAAATTTTGCTTAATCATTCCCACCAACAATTGGATGACGTCATGCCCAAAATTTACATTAGTAAAATGTTATTTAAATTTTATAAAATCAGATACTTCTGCATTTGTGCTTTATGAATACGTGTTGAGTTTTTAAATGAAGGGAAAAAAAATCAAAATTGTTTAACATTTTCCAACTTAATTTTGAAACCGTAAAACCTAATGCTCTGAAATTTTGCAAACTTTTTAAGGTTATTGTTAATCGTAAGGATAGTAAATATATAGTTAATAAAAATTTTTACTTTTATGTCACTACAAAAAATGATGACGTGATTTTACAATTTGCCGAATAAATGTTCTTTAAATTTTTAAAATTACATACCTACTCCTGCATGTGTGATTTATGAATCCGTGTTGAGTTTTTATCCTGGACATCCAGATTTTTGGGAAAAACATTAAAATTGAATAACATTTTACAATTTAACTTTGAAATTGCAAAACCAAATGCTGTGAAATTATTCAGATATTTGAAGGTTATTAGAAACATCGCAAATCGTTAATCAAAAATAGGCCGTTTACCCAGGTGTCCAAAAAATGGCACACCAAAACTCTATGACACGTTTTCAGAACAATTTATCCAACAGAGAAAAAAATAATTTAGAAAATCCTTTTGTCCAAAAGTAGAAGATGTAGTCATTCAAAAAAAAATTGATTTTTGCATAGATCTTTAATATGATACAAATTTGCTCAAAGAACTACAGATTTATCTTTAAAAATAAAAAAGTTACAGAGATTGTATCAAATCAAAGAAACACCCTGTTCCTGTATATAAGTTTCGTTTTGAAAGAAATGATGAAAGTTGGAACATCCACATACCGTAGTTATTTTATTTTAAGCAGTTGGCAATTTTCCAAATTTTTGGAAATTTTCAGTGGTTGTCAACCACTTGGTCGACTTCTATGTTATCATTACTCGTGGGAAATTTGTAAATAAAAAAAAAGCAATATAAGACGAGGTATCTGAAGGAATTTGATCCGGAAAAACGTGTATTTTCATCTGTTGTCACTAGAAAAATTTTAGTTCATGGAAAATGCAAACAAATTAATATTTCGACCTACAAAATTGCAACGGTCACTACAATGGAGACAAAAGTCTTTGAATAACATAATTTTCAAGCAAAACAAAATTATCAAGTTTTATAGGAGTTGAAAATGACCAAAATCAGTGCACTAAATCTATTAAAACGCGAAAGTTAGTAAAGTTTTCTATTTTGCTAGAAAATTAAAAAAACATAGAAAATACTTTATTATTTTAAATACGTTGATAAGGAAATTAGATTTGTGTAATTTCTCTCAACCCTCGCACAAAAGTCCTTAGGGTACGAACCTCCGCGGATCCATTAGCTCTACTGAATTTAATCATCCCTTTAAACACTTACGATAACAACATTTAATAAAACGCAACTAGCGCCGCATAAACTCGACATTAATTCACTCTTCCGAATTTGATTGCAGCAATTAGAATCTAATAAAATCGCGGCGCTGGCAGCGAAAATGCAGAAGATAGAGGAAGCATCCCGGAAGAAGGACGAACAAACTAGTCAATTTATTTCAGCCACACGAGAAGCTTTAGAACACAAAATGGAGAATCACACAGAGAAGCGCGAAGCTTACATAACGGATTTGAAGACTAAGCTTAAGGTAGTATTTCGATCTCTCACCATCGCCGTCAAAACACACGTTTAATCCCCAGGATCACATCGAAAACGTAGAAAAAACCAGATTATCAATCGAACAGCAGACCGACGAGGTGCGATCGGCAATCGAGGAGAAGCTGAAGACGGCATCGGTCCAACGTGACGAGAATATCAAGAAGATGCTGGAACGTCTCAAGGAGCACGTAAGTAATCAGCGTTCTAGGCGGCGTTATATTATATCGGCGCACTCAATTATCACCCATATTTCATTCACGAATTGCTTGCATGTTTGTGTGCATCATCTAGGAGGATCAAGTGCAAAAGGTCCGCGGAAGCAATGCTCTTAAATTCCAGCAGTTAGAAGCGGCGATTCAGGAAAAATTAGAACAGGCACAGTCGAGGCGCTCGCAGATAGAGCAGGAGCAGAAAGAGAAATTGCGTAATTATGTAAGTAATTTCCGTGACATGGAGAGAATTGGTGTAGTTTTGTGATGAGCTAGGCATGTCTGTGTCTATAGCTGTCTCTTTTGTTTTATTTTATTTTTCGTTGTGCTTTTTTTAATTAATGCCCACTGTAGAACTCACGCCCCCTGGAAATTAAACAAAGCGCCGTTTCGACGTTAGAAGTTCGCAAAACAGAAGTTTCGACTCAGCTGGAAACTAAATTAACTATTGCGGAACAAAAAAGGGAGCAGGAAATTCAGCGCAAACTTGAGATCGCCAAAAAACATGTAATTATGGTTTCTTTTTGTTTTTTTTTCCCTCCATCAGCGGCACTTTACTCGGCACCAGATAAATTTTTGATGAAACAGAGGTGGTCTCCGACAGCTGCTCGCAAAGTTCACTCTCGGTCGTAATTGTTCCACTGTCTGAAGTTATTTTCTTTTATAAGCTGTTTCTCGTACAAGGCGAGAGGCGACGTCTACTACGGATTTTTTCACAGGACGACCTAACTAAATTCAGAATCAGTGTGTAATTTTACGTGGGGTTTATAACTGACAAACTGATAAATTTAGAATGAGAAAAGTACCTACTAGAGATGGAATAAAATTATTGTTTTTGAATTGAAAAAAGAAAAGTAAAATTATTAAAAGTTTTTGAATTATTCATTCAATATGAACGAGAATATACAGAGTGATTAAAAAATTATTGATAAGTCCGATCATACGTTGATAAGAAGCCACTGAAGAACTCGAAAAAAAAATGGTTAAAAAATAGCTGCACCAAACTTTGGAAAATAGTAACCTTCGAAGTTAAAGAATTAACTTAAAAATATCAGAATTACGAATTTAATTCTTTAAATTTGAAGTATAATGAAAAAAATTTGGTTCAGTAATTTTGTTTACTAGTTTTTTCCAGTTCTTCAGAATCTTCTCAACAACCTACCATGGAGCTTATCCGTCATTGTTTGATAGCGGCAAATGGAGGCAAATTTTTTGTGAAGCTATTCTTGGTTGAAAACACGTACAAATGCTTCATACCAACAAAAATATGTTTATTCTAATCAATTTTTATTTATAACAGCTTTATCAGAGATCAAAACATCTGTTTTGTTTAGAAAAAAAAACTTATTGGACAAAAAAATCTTTCGATAAAGATCATAGTAAATTGGGGAATTTTGTCGTAGTTGGTACTACCAATGTCAGATTGTAATATTTACATAGTTTAAATTTTCACAATAAATAAATCATTAAGAACGTTTTCCATAAATAACTTCCCAATAAAATTAATTTTTTGTTTTGACTGATAAATTTTGTACTCCATCCTTGATGTTTACTTTATTTGTTATTTGACAGTGATATTTGTAATGAGTATCAATCTTGAAAACATAAATTACACCAGGTCTATTACGAAACTCAACCGAGCTATTACAGCACTCAATTTGAGGGCTGTAGAAACAGGCAAAAAAATATAAAAAAAAAATGAAGATTATTAATTTATTATTAAAATTACTTTAAAATAACGGGTGCTCAATTGAAAAAGTGACCGAGTTGGCTTTGTTTTCTGTCGATTTTTAGACACGTATTTTAATTTTTCGTTTTTTCAAATTTTCGTTTCTTCCATTTGTAATTTTTCCTATTTTTAATTTTGAAATTTTCGTTTATTAATTTATCCAATTTTAGATAGTTAATAGTTTCTTTTTAAATTTTTCGATGTTTCAAGTTTTTGATTTTTCAGTTTCTTCTATTTGCCATTTTTGATTTTTAATTTTTCCATTTTTGATTTTTGAATTTTTCGATTTTTAATTTTTTAAATTTTCATTTCCCCATATTTTCGATTTACAATTTCTAGATTTTCCGTTTTTCGATTTTTCAGGTTCTCGAGTTTTTCTTTTTAGATTTTTAAAATTTTTGTTTATTCATTTTTCCTAATATTACAATTTTTCGATTTTGAAATTAGTGTTCTTTCAATTTTTCGATTTTACAGACTCTTCATATTTAATTTTTCATTACTTTAATTTGTAGAACGGCAATTTTTCGATTTTCAGTTATTCGGATTTTCAATTTTTAATTTGTTCACTTTTTCGGATTTTACAATTTTTCGATTTCTTAATTTTTCGGTTTTTAAATTTATTTTAAAACTTCTCGATTTTTCAGTTTTTCGCGTCTTCAATTTTTTCCTTTTTCAGTTTTTTCTATGTACACGTCTTCGATTTTTCAAACTCTTGATTTGGAGTTTTTTCAATGTTTCGGTTTTTAATTTCTACCCACTACCCACTAAAGATGGAATAAAATGATTGTTTTTGAATTGAAAAAAGAAAAGTAAAATTATGAAATCTTTGTATTATTCATTCAATATGAATGAGAATATACAGTGGTGATTAAAAAATGACTCATAAGTTAGTCGTAGAATAGAACTCAAAAAAAAATTGTTAAAAAAATACCTGCACTAAACTTTGAATTCTTGATTGAAAACACGTATAAAATGCTTCATACCAACAAAAATATGTTTAGGCTAATCAAGTTTTACTTATAATAGCTTTATCAGAGATCAAAATATCTATTTTGTTTAAGAAAAAAAACATCTTTCAATAAATATCATAGTAAAATGATTTAATTGTAACCCTTGCAATGTACGTTTCTGATTTATCACTTTTTGATAAAATGGCAGCGCAGCTAATTCCCAAAATTTGAAATTTCAGCAGTGCCTGTATCAAAATGACATTTTATATTTGGACTAAAAATATATAGTTTTTTTTTAAGAGGAATGCTTGCCTAGAAATGTTTCGTCATTATTCAGTATTTCATAATCTACACAACATATTTTGTGGCTTTTTAAGTACCCTATATGATTGTATCGGGTGATTTTTTAAATTTTTGCTCTAGTTACCCATGACGCTTACGTCAGCAGTTTCACTTTCACTGTTGACATGTCACTAGAGCAAAAATTTAAAAAATCACCCGGTATAATTCTTTTCAAAAGCTTTTTATTTTTTATTGAAGATTTTTTCGATGGCTCTATTAATTTATAGTATATTAAAAAACAAGACATTATTTTAGAACACACATCCCAATTTTTCAAAGTTTTCCAAGGGATGAATGCGTTAATATGTCCTTATTTTACACTTCGCGCTTTTTGAGATAAAATTGGAATTTTTAAAATTTTGGGTAATTTTGTTGTGGTTGGTACGACCAATGTACACACATGTACATACAACTTGTATCATTTGTGGTTAAATTTTCACAACAATAAATCATCAAAAACGTTTATTATAAAAAACTTTCCAAGAAAATCATTTTTCGTGTTTTGATTGATAAATTTCATTTTCCTTCGTTGATGTTTATTTTGTTTGTTGTTTGACAGTGACATGTATAGGGAGTACCAATCTTGAAAACAAATTACACCAGTTCTATTACGAAACTCAACTGAGATATAGAGCAATCAATTGTATAGTAACAGGACAATATTTTAAAAAATTGAAAATTACTTTTGGAAAATACGTTTAAATAACGAGTGTTCAGTTGAAAAAGTCATCAAGTTGTCGTTGTTTTCTGAAGATTTTTAAACATGTATTTTAATTTTTCAGTTTTTCAGTTTCTGGATACTTCATTTTTCGATTTTTCAAATTTTCCTTTCTTCAATTTGCAAGTTTTCTTATTGTTAATTTTAAAATTTAGGTTTTTTGTTTTTTCAATTTTTAGATACATATTTAAAATTTTTCTGTTTCAATTTTTAGTTTCTTCCCTTTCCTATTTGCAATTTTTGATTTTTAATTGTTCAATTTTGGTTATTCAATTTTTCGATTTTACATTTTCTCCTTTCTTCACTTTTTCGGTTTATAATTTTTTGAATTTTCATTTCTGCAATTTTCCTATTCGCAATTTTTTGATTTTTCAGGTTCTCAATTTTTTTATTTTTCGGTTTTTAAATTTTTCTTTCAATTTTTCAATTTAAAAATTTTTCGATTTGTTAATTTTTCGATTTTTAAATTTATTTTCCCATTTCTCGATTTTTCTTATTTTCCATTTTTAATTTTTCATTTCTGAAATTGTTCGGTTCACAATTTTTCACTTCTTTACTTTTCTCTTTGCAAGTCATTAGTTTTTCAGGTTCTCGATTTTGAGTTTTCCGACGTTTCAGTTTTAGTTTCTTCACTTTTTCGATTTACAATTGTTCGATTTTTAGTTTTTCAATTTTTTGATTCTTCAGGTTTTCGCTTTTGAGTTTTCCGACGTTTCAGTTTTTAGTTTCTTTACTTTTTCGATTTACAATTGTTCGATTTTTAGTTTTTCAATTTTTTGATTCTTCAATTTCCCGATTTTATGGTATTTCGATTTCTCAATTTTTAGATTTAATTTAAGTCGTATTGTTCTATAACGGGTGATGCATAACCTTTTTTAAAGGTGATCAAAAAGTTTTAAGATTAGAGTTACCCATGGAAATATTTGTCGTGTCTTTGATTAAACTATAAAAGTCCTTTAAAAAAGGCTAGGAATGACTTATTCTAAGACATTCTTCACAATATTTACAAACAATCAAGGCCAACTTGATGACTCTTTCAACTGAGCACCCGATGTCCCGTGACAGCGGTCGACGTATGCATGAGTTCCGAAATTGTAATAACAAAAATTAACTGAGTTTTCAGTAGCTTTGGTGTGATTTTATTAATTTCACTGCTTTCGGGATCCGGTCAGGTATCGTAATAAATTCGGTTTTTTTTTTAACCGTGGGTGTTAATTTAACAGAAAAATCATACAGTTTCACAAAACAGTGCTTAAAATTTAATTAGTCAAATTACCTTTAAATCCGGGTGGTGAATCCAATATAGAAAGTGTTTTGAAAACAATTATTTTAATGAGATTCTTTATATTTTTAATTTTCAAATAATATCTTCCCTTGGATAAACTGCAAATCGTTTTAAAGTGTATTTTAGATCTCTGTTTACATTTATACCGTATAAACGAAAAATAAGTCCTCTAGTAGGCTATGTTTAGTTTGACAGTTTACAGTCAACTAAATGTCAAATAACTGCAATGCATATGTACGTCAGTATTTTAAAAATAAATTTCATGGCTCACTAGAGGACTCTTTTTCGGTCATATGGTATTTTCGAGCAATAACAAAAGGAAAAAGAGATGAGTCAAAACTACTGTACCGATTACTCAAATATTCTAATTAGATCGAAAAGAGTAAAGCGCTAACCAAAATTTAGGTATATTTTTTTCTCTCAAAAATTAACGCATACACGTTGTCAAAAAAAAATACCGTTTATTCTTGAAACTACCATATTTATTATTTGATATTTTGGAAAGACAATAAAATTGATGTACTTAACCCTATCGTAAACTTGATGACGTCATTCCAAAAACTTATTAAATAAATACTTCAAACGGTTTATCAAATATACTCGATATCTTTTAAAACAATAAACTTTTTTTACTACTAAATGTGAATATGTTCTCTGCTGTGCTTGTGTGAAAATTTAAGAAAATAACCACATCATCTAATAAATTAATTTCGATTTTTGGAAAACACTTCAGTTTTAAACATATGCATCTTGTGTGCGATAAAAATAAAAGTAAAGGTTGTATTAAACAATAAAAGGTTACGAGTGGCGGCTTGGGGGCCGTTACCTCAACATCCTACATACTCGAAGCCATAACGCTTTGTTCAACGTGGCAATTAAAGTTATTTTTACAGCATCCCGCACTTTTAATGCTTATTGTAGCCGCGCCATACATTGTGGAAACAACTTACGGAATAATTTCAAAAATTAATAAACGATCACTCAGTTCTATTATATGTTCTGCTGTTATTTTCTCACTTACAATAACTTGAAAAAATTCAAAACGAAGAAAATTGCTTTACGTGTTCTAGCTTTTTCTGTAAAGTATTATTGCCGGTAAATCATTCAATTTAATCCTTAAGTGGTATCCCCATTTTAGAACCAGTATATTGGAGTCATGTTCGATCGTAAAATAGACAATTTGCGTTTTTAAAACCTTTATTCTCATTCTGAAATAACTCTTTCGTGTTGTCATTCTCCAAAACATTTGCGAGTGTCCACACAAAAAATATTTTAATGTTTGGGACCGTGAACTCTTCCTTGTGGTTTCGAAGCGTCTGATGATTTTGCAGGTTTCTTTACACCAGACCCTTTTTTAGTCTGAGTTGTATTATTACTGTTATTATTTGATGGGTTTTTATTGGGAATCGCTTTCAGTGGAACAAGTTGATCTTGTTCAGTCCGTGCTTTCGACTGATCAGCTCCAGATATGTCCTTCAGTTCGTGAATTTTGATTTGGCTTCGTTTAAATTCACGCTGTTCATGAGGACGATTCGGGTCTAGGATTTCCGATGCGAGCATGTCTGCAGCTTCTATAGTATTTCCCATTTTACCTGGAATTTTGCTTACACTTAGAATTTAGATTTGTCATTTTTGACAAGACAAATGTCACGACGTAGTCTAAAATTAGTGTCGATCCAGTGCCGCTGATTTTTTTTTTCATAATTATTTTTATTTTTGCTTTTGGCCTATCGGCTTATTTTTTTATTTTGACCCGTTTTGTTAGAATGAGCACTTAATGGAAGTTAAACAAACAATCGAATCGACCGAAGAAAGCCGCAAGAGCGAGAACATCACGAAAATTGAGAGTAAGCTGACCACAGCCGAGCAAAATCGAGAAAAGGAAATCCAGCGTAAATTGGAAAACATCAAAAAGAACGTACGTATCCTGTAGGCTTTTGACATCGCGCTGACATTTCAATGGTCTGTGCATCATGTTGGTAATAATTTTCATCGAGAGAATGTCCAATAACTTGTAATGTTTTCGCATTATGTCGTCGTAAAAGTAGCTTGAATGGAACCACTAATAAAGCCGATACACATTGTTGTGGCATTTAATAACTTTCTGTTCATTGTGACATGTAGAAACGTGATCGTTTATAGTATTGTTTCACGCAGTGGAAATAGATTTGGGCCGTTTTGCGCAGCTTGCGCTATATGGATGTAACAGCCGCTCGAAAATGTTTTTACTGGTTGTTGGTTGTCGATTTGCGTGGAGAAAACGCAGGAAAGTCGAACCGCCTGGATTTTTGCTAGTTGTTTGCCGAAACTGGCAATTAAGATTGAGAAATAATGTATAATCCAGATCGTTCGAATTTTATGCTGCGAAATTGGCGCAGCTTGTGGGATGTGGATTGGTAACCGCATTTCGAACGGTTGTTACGCCTGGAGTTTCTTTAAACCGAGAAAACGGGGAACGAAATTAGTGGTGAAGAAATTTGCTGATGAGATAATTGTTTGCAGGAGAAGCGAGCCGAGACCGTGCGCCAGAACAAGGCGAATCTTCTGGCTCAAGGCACTCCCTCATCTGGTTAAATATTTAAATATCAGGAATCGTAGTTCTATTTTATATTCATAATCATCCGCTTTTATCAACCAGTCTTGGGTTTTTTGCCTCAAGATCAATATCATATTACGAGAAGATTATCAATAGTTAAGTTCTTCTCAAGTATTGCTTTTATTAGACTGAAAACTTTGTGATTATTTTATTATACTTCATTTGTATTTGTTTTTAATGATGTATATTGAATTACTAAATGCTCATTGTTTATGGATGGAGATCTGTTCGTTTTATTTGAGTTTTCTGGTTTCCGCAAGTCCAGTATATTGTAACTGATATTAAGCGAAATTTAATGGTAAGGATAATTGTGTTTAAACTGACCAGCTAGCTTAGCCACCTGTGGACAATTATAATAGAGCTTTAAGATGTGTTTCGCGCACTTTTTCACATGTAGCTAGATATTAAAAGAATTGTAAATGAAAGTCTTATTTTTGTGTAAAAGAATTTGGGTTCGTGTTTCCGAGTGACGATAATGCGTGGCGTAATATTTCTTATAGAAAAGTCTCGATGCTGACGCATTTTAGTGCCATTTCATTATTTAGGGTCCGCCACTCGGAAGCCCGAACCCACATTATAAATCTAGGAGTAGGGAGTTATTGATTATTTAAAAGGTACGCACGAACCTCTCGTGGGTACTTTTTAAGATTTTCAATAAGCGGATGAGTATTCGTTTAGTGTTTATATCACAACAACAACCGCCTAGTGCTGCCTTGTGTATGAACGACCGGAGTGATTGGAAATCCAGATTGTGCTTACTGCTGTAGTTATTTTAGTTTATTTTTGTTCAAGTAACGACACTGTGACTTCAATGAAAAGCTACTTGGACAAATTAAACGAAAATGTCACTACTAGCTTCTGTGATGAGTTGTTTTTTCAAATATAAATTTATAGCAAAGAAAAGATATTTAGCTAAAATGTAAAACTGTAGCATTTGTGTAGTGTTCAGCAGTCACCAATTTATAATGTTTCATACGCTTTCAACATGTATAAACGAATATTGTTTGTTCAAGTCATTCATATATCAGTTGTGGGGAATACTTGTATCCTGGTTAAAGCTACATTTTAACGTGTTGGTTGTAACATTTTTAACGTTGGTTTTTCATTTTTATGATAAATTTTGTTTTGTAAGTACTAATGTTGCTTAATAAATATTATTAACAATTAATGGTTTTTTATTTCCACTCATAGTTTTGAGTTTTGGACCTGAATGTCCGGTTTATTTTACAGTGTAAAATATGTCATCTGATTGATGCCCTCCTATATAGTGCATTTTTACTTCAAAGTCCTTAACTTATTCGATTTGTTTTAACTACAAGTGAAAATAACATGAATCTGAGTTGGCGTTTCCTGCGAACCTTTGGTTGGTACTACTGCTCTGACGTAAATCAATAAGTACATAACCTTGAACTAGTCGTTTTTTTGTCTGTTTTTTTGGCAATGGGTGTTAACTAAATGAATACGTGAATCTGCTGTGTTTAAATTTTGGTACTGACAAGTGACAGACCTGTCAATTGTGCATTAGCAAAAAAAGCTCTTTTCCTATAAAAAATATGAGGATAAAACTATCCTGTAATCTGCAATCTCTTCAACGGTTCTCTTTTATGTGGATAGTGTCAACGATAAAACTTTCTACACATTTTGTTCCAAATTAACAATTTTATTGTGTTGACATGTGTATCTTTGAGATTAACTGCAGTGTTGCTAGATGTTTAAATGAAAAACAACCCGTACACATCATTGTCAACAACTGAGTAGACTTTTTATTTTCACGTAATACCTAGGTGTTCAATTGAAAAAGTCATCAAGTTGGGTTTTTTTTTGTGACAGAAGCAGACGCATGTCTTTTATTAGTTTAGAGAGTTTAGACCAGCGTGGTTTAGATTATTATGTAAAAGTGACATTTGAAGTTGTTGAACCATGGCCGACTAGTATAAAGATTATGGCCTGTCCAAGAGGTACGATACGTGTTGCCATCTATTAATAATTACACTTAATAATTTAGCAAAATTTTAATTTGACTTGACATTATGGGACTTCAAAACGTGTAATGGTGGTTTGTTTGGGTATGAATGCCTTTGTGCCTTTCAAAAGGTGTTAATAATTCTTTTGTCAATTTTGAATTATTAATAGATGGCAGCACGTATGGTACCTTTGGCATTCCTTTAGACAGGCCATAATCTTTATACTAGTCGGCCATGGTTGAACAATGCTTATTTTATTATATGGAAAAATGAGGTTAGGTTGTACCCTTTCGCATACAATTAGAGGAGGTAGAATGATAAATCCCTACAGGACGCATTAAGAGGATTTGGCCCCATGGAATGCTATATCTTCTACCTAGACTCTAATTCTCCCATTGCCTGGTGTTCGGGTTTCGGTTTTACTTACCAACCGCAACCCTTGTCAACAAGCGTCCCCAACTTTCTCTTCTACCAGCAATGTATCGCTTCCGATTTTAACAACTTTGTACATAGACTCCGAACTGTCAACAACAAGTAAATACAGTGTTACACAGCACATGTTTGTGTTTCATTTTATATCAATCTTTTTCGGTACGTATGTATGAATAACAATCATACATCCAACATTGGTCCTTCGAGCCGGATCTCTCCACATGTGTGATCCAGTGCTGTGAATTCAACAATAAAACGCGGTGGTGCCATTTTTCGACGCCTGTATCGGGAGACGTGATCTACCGGCCATCGGAGTTCCCTACCGGACAGGAGAGCAGCGAATCCAGCCCATCCAGTCGTTTCATCCAAGGTTCCAAGTGACCTTATCACGTTTTTGGTAATTTTCGACGCCTGTATCGGGAGACGTGACCTACCGGCCATCGGAGTTCCCTACCGAGCAGGAGAGCAGCGAATTCAGCCCATCCAGTCAATTCACCCAGGCTCCAGGTGATCTTATTACGGTTTTGGCAATTTTCGACGCCTGCATCGGGAGACGGGATCCAGCCATTGGAAATTCCCAACCGGACAGGAGAGCAGCGAATCAGTCTAGCCGTCCCAGGTGCCAGAGGGCCTTATTGCGGTGAGTGGGTTCCAACTATTCCTTTTCTTTATCTATTTCCGGTCAAGCACGCATTCGACCGTAATTGCACGTCATTTTATTTAAATTTCATTGGCAAGTACCATTTACCTTGCCCGAACTGTACCAGTTTTACGTATTTCAACTAAGCGGTTTTTCAAATGGTTATGACGCGTTCGCAAACTTTCGATGCTCCACACATGGCAGGCGCGGAAGGTGACGACAATGCCGAAACATTTTCGGACTCAAATCCTACACCAGAGGATGCAGGAAATTTACAAATTTTATTCTTAAAAAGAAATCGCATTCACGACGAAATATCGCGTTTCAAGTTGTGGTTTGAAACAAACAATCTAAGTACATCCGCTTCTCGACTAAGAGTAAGATTGCGCGATTTTGTACGTATTAAGGCTCAGTTTGACAAAATCCATTCTCAGATTGAAGCTCTTGATGACGCCACCCCCGATTTAGAACAAGCTACCACAAGACTTTATTTTGAAAACGCGTATTACGATTTATGTGCAGATGTCGAAGATGCTATTGAACAAAAACGCGTTAACACATCTTCACCTGCACAGCAAGGTAACGCACCTACGAGCACACCGTCACCATCGGTGCAGTCGCTCCCGATTGTTATTAAACCGTTTAGCGGAATTTATACTGAATGGCTACCTTTTTATAATACACTTAAAACACAAAAGGTGTCTACATTTACAGCAGCAGTAAATCGCAATAGTACACAATCCACTTGTTATTTTTGTAAAAAATCTCATTTAATTTACAACTGTGTTACCTTTTTAAAACTCAGTGTTTCGGAAAGAAGGTGTCAGGTAGATAGGTTGAAATTATGTCAAAATTGTCTCAAACCATCGCATACGTCCGATAGCTGTAAATCTATGGCATGTAAATTATGCCAATTGAAACATAATACACTTTTACATAGTGACCAACCCTCCCATTCAAACGATGATAAGTCGCTCACAGCTCCTGAAACACAACATGAGAACTATTTTATTAACAATGCCACTCAATTATCCAACGGACGATTTCAAGTCAGATTAACATTTAGCAAGTGTTTCCCAATCTTGAGGGATTCGAAAGAAATCGCGCTTCAACGATTGTACTCATCGGAACTTAAGTTCGCAAAAAATATTATGTTAGAAATCAACTATCATAATTTTATAAAAGAAGACATTAATTTAGATCATATGCTTTTACTAGGTTCTTTTACAGAGCAAAAAATCGAAAGTAAACCCCATCATTTTTTGCCTCATCATGCGGTTTCCAAAACTGACGGGGTCACTGAAAAGATTTGCGTAGTGTTTGATGGGTCAGTTAAACCATCAGTCGGAAAAAGCATAAATGCTTGTCTCAGTACAGGGTCAAAAGTACAAAACGACATTTCCGATGCAATAATTCGATCTAGGACGCATGAGGTCGCTTTTACTGCGGACATTTGTAACATGTATCATCAAATTTTAATTCATCTCGAAGACAGACGATACGAAAAAACTTTGTGGTGGGATGATCCCGTGCTTTACCAAGCACGTGTCACTTTAGCCAAACGGGCTTCAAATACAAATTTGCTGAATGATTTGACAACTAACCACATCAATTTTCATTTCATTCCGCCTTCCGCGCCACATATGGGGACTATCGGGGAGGCAATGGTCAAATCTGCGAAAAGTCAGTTGAAGCGCGTTACTGGTATATTTTTATTTAATTTGCAAGAAATGCAGACGTTGCAAATACAAGTCGAAACGTGTTTGAATTCGTACCCGTTAACCGCCATGTCCAAAGATCCAAATGACCTGACTCCTTTAATTCCCGGTCACTTCCTCGTTGGAACCCCTCTAACTGTTATTCCAGAGGATAACGTCACCACGGTCTCAACGAACCGGCTCTCCAGGTGGCAACAATTCAGCCGCACTCAGCAGCAATTTTGGAAACGGTGGACAGCAGAACATATGGGTCAACTTCATCATCGCCCAAAATGGACCAAGGCCAGCCGCAACAGCATAAGGTGGACGATTTGGTGGTCGTTAAGGAAGACCACACACCCCCGCTTATATGGACCACTGGGACGCGTTATTACTGTTCATCCCGGTCTACATGGCCCCATTCGCGTAGTGACAGTGAGAACCGCGCATGATGTGATTAACCTGCAAGTGACTAAGCTGTGTGTGCTTCCGACATAAACAAATGTGCAGTGTCTAAATTTACCCCTTTTTTTCTATGTGTTCTGTACTCTATTTCATTGTCAATGTATGCACCTGTCATGTAGACACATATTATGTATTTCATATTTGCAATTGTTATACTTTGTCATGTTGAAAGTTAGTTCTTTCAAGGCGCCGGACCATGTTCGGGTTTCGGTTTTACCTACCAACCGCAACCCTTGTCAACAAGCGTCCCCAACTTTCTCTTCTACCTGAAATGTATCGCTTCCGATTTTAACGACTTTGTACATAGACTCCGAACTGTCAACAACAAGTAAATACAGTGTTACACAGCACATGTTTGTGTTTCATTTTATATCAATCTTTTTCGGTACGTATGTATGAATAACAATCATACATCCAACACCTGGACTCGACTTGGCGTTTTCGACGGTAGTCTTTTTAACCACAATGCGTTCTTCTAGAGAATTCGTGAATGTCCCCTTTGAGGTTGTTCCGGAGTCCGTCATCGCTCATGCAGTGACGGCTCGTCAGGGACGGCAGGGTCGGCCAGGCCGTACCAAATAATTTGAGAAATAAGAAAACATTTTTTTTTTGAAAATCCAAATTTTTTATTAGCATTTTTGAAAGACTGATACTATAATTTTTAAAAATTAAAAAATTAATAAACATAAATAAATAAAAATAATTACTATTAATTTCTAATAATGAAGACACAATTTAATGTTTTAAATTCATCCCGGAGAGAAGCTATTTTACTATGTCAAATGCCTATATAGACACGGGCCCGGCCGGCCGATGCCTTGAAAAATTACCAACAGTACTCTACGAGCTACGGCTTATGCTTTCCGATCGGTATATGGCTGCGTTAAGGGTGCCGTCTGGAGGCAAAATATCTGCCTGGTCAAAGTGAGAATAAAACGACCCGGGAGATGCTGCCTCCTGTTAGTGAATT